AAATATAAACTTCATGTTAAAGTATAGAAAATCAACATATTCCAACATATTCATGAGAAGAAAAGGAAGAAAGAAAATAAAATTAAAAAATATAGAAGCTGAACCCATATTTCTGTTATAGGAAAAGAAGAAAAGAAAAGGTGGAAGAAGAAGAAGAAGAAATTAGTATATAAACACACAAATTTAGTAAAGAAAAAGAAGAAAATGTATTGATTGGACAACATTTTGTGTTCTTCCTTACTTATTGGTTCAGGTTTTGAAGTCTTTGAGGGTTCAATACAGCATTTAGCAATGTTTGTGTTGATTAAACCCTAACAAATAAGAAAATAATAAAAAGAAATTAGTATATAAACACACAAAATGAATATTTTAGTTTAAAAATGTCTATTTTATAATTATAACCTCAAAAAATTAAGAATACAGAAGTTTTTTATAACACACTAGAGAAAACTGCTTGGCGATTAGGCAATGTGAGCCTCCAAGGGTGCCTTGTCGCCTTGACAACTATGGTATGTCTTTACCTCAGGGGTGTATGGAAAGGAAATGCAAGGGAATGTGTGTGAATAGAGGAAGTCCCTTTATGGCCTCAAATAGTCTCCTAGAGCATGGTTTGGGAGATTCTAGGCTGCTCTTGTTGCCTTTGGTTATACACAGACTCAGTCTGATCATACTTTATTTGTTAAGAGGAGAGACTCCTTGTCGACCTATCTAATTGTTTATGTTGATGACATTGTGGTTACTGGTAATGAATACTTTGGAAATGGCTAATCTCCAAAGATTTCTTAATACTGAATTTGAGATCAAAGACTTGGGTGACCTCTGATATTTCTTGGGAATTGAGGTTACTCGATCTAAGGATGGTATTTTCATCTCCCAATGCAAGTATGTCCTTGATTTACTTGCAACAACTGGTAAACTTGGTGCTAAACCGACTTTCACTCCTATTGACTTGAATCATAAGCTCTCAACTACTGATGGTGAACTGTTGACTCGGCCGAATATTTCCTATAAAGTGTCATTAGTCAGTTCATTCATTCCCCTAGAGATACACATTTAACAGCTACAGAGAGGGTTTTGTGTTACCTGAAAGGTACTCCAAGGAAGGGTATCTTGTTAGCTAGGCATGAACAGATGAAGTTCGAAGCGTCATTGATGTTGACTGGGCTGGATGTATTGATGGTAGGAAATCTACTTCAAGATATTGTGCTATGGTGGTAGGGAACATTGTTTCATGGAGAAGTAAGAAAAAGTTTGTAGTGGCTAAATCCTCAACTGAGGCAGAATATAGGGCAATGGCACATGGAGTTTCAAAATTATTGTGACTTAGGTCACTTTTGGAAGAATTGGGTATTGATTGTGAGAAGCCAATGATACTATATTGTGATAACCAGGCAGTTATTAACATTGCACATAATCCGGTTCAACATGATAGAACTAAGAACATAGAGGTTGACAGACATTTTATACAGGAGAAAGTTGCTTTAGGGGAGGTTTGCTTGTGCTTTCCATTTGTTGCTTTTGAAGAACAAACGGCTGATTTCTTGACAAAAGGTGTTCCAAAAGGGAAGTTGATACATTATATAAGCAAGTTGGGTATGATTGCTATCTATGCTTAGCTTGAGGGGGAGTCGGTATTTTAAATGTGTAAGGCGAAAGGGCCAATTTGGGCCCGAGGCGCAAGGCGTGGCGCATGCCTTTTTGAAGCAAGACGGAAAAATACAAAAAGAAAAGTTAAAAATAAAAAATGTTAGAAAATTCAAAAAATGCAAAAAAAAATCAAAAAATATTAAACATAATATTAATAAAAAATATAAACTTAAGTTTTAAAATAAATGTTTTAAAAAAACATATTATCAAAAATTAAAATACATAAACATAACATGTAAAGCATATTCAAATGAGAATTTAAAAATAAAATCACCCCGACTTGAGGGGGAGTTATGTAATGTTCAGTTGTTATGTGCCGCAAGGGCACTTTTGTCTTTTCTTTTATTTTTTTGTTATGTTTGGCTACCTGAAGATATAAATATATAACTGGCGCCACCAACTAATACTTTGTTGTCTCTCTAATCTTCTTCTTCTTTGAAATCAGAGAGGACGAATAATGTGGAGGGTAGTAAGAGCAGCAGTGTTCTGAACTATTTGGGAGGATAGGAATCAAAGAAATTTTAATGATAAAAGCAGGTCCTAGGAGGAGTTGATAAAAGTCATATAAGAGTTAGAGCTGCACGTTGGTTAAAAACTTTGGAACTCTTTCAAACATTTTCAGTCATTGATATTGTAAGAACTTGGACAGAAGTGGCATAAACAGGAACAAGGAAAGAAAGGGTGCATATGAATTGGATTCCACCAGCTGATAACAAGACAAAGCTGAACTTTGATGGTAGCTCCATGGATAATCTAGGGAGAGGTCTAGGGGGTGTGTTGAAGAACCACTTGGGCTCGGTGTCACTTTGTATTCCAGGCCAATTGGAAATGGTGACTTAGTTAGAGATCAATTGTTGGCATTGCTTCAAGCCTGCAAGGACTATGATTAGCAAAATAGCTTGGAACCCAAGAGTTAGAAGTGGAAGGGAATTAAAATTGTCATTTTTTTATGAATAATGAGTGAATTTATTTAGATTAAAAGCATAAAAGATACAGAGAAAATTCCCACGATGAGGCACGAGATGCAGCCTCGGATTAAAGCAAAAAACTACAGTTTAGCCCAAAACATCTGATTCCTATGCACCCTTTGTTTCGCTAATGAATCTGCTAACCCATTTGCTGATCTGCTTTCCCATTGGAATTGGACTGACATGTTTGTAGTTAGCCATTTGAATCTTCGTAAAGCTCCTTTATAGGACTAGGCTGCCGTTTCTGGTTCTTTTAACCACTGGATCACCAGCTTGGAATCACCTTTAATTAACAATTGTTCACAGTTCAGTTCCTTGGCAAATTCAGCTCCTTGTAGCATTGACTGAGTCCCCTACTCCTATAGGGCCAGAGTATAAAGCAATGATTAGCCCTCCAGTATTTCTAAACACTCCCCCAACACCCGAAGGACCCAGATTGCCTAAACTGCTGCCATCAAAGTTGAGCTTAATGATACCCTCTTGAGAAGGTTTCCATTCTGCTAATGGTTTAGGTCTTGTACCAGAGCTTTTGGCAACCGCTTCCCAATTTCTCCATAAATCATCAAAGGAGAATGGAGAAAATAGTTCCAGGGTCTTGAACCAATTAATGGCTCTATTAATTAAAATTATGTCATTTTGGACAAGGAAAATCAATTTAGCTCCATGGACAGGCATTACTTTAGGGAGATAACTGACCTTTCAAGGGAACTCAACACCACTTTCAATTAGGTTAGAAGAACAGCTAATGGAATGGCTGATGTATTGGCTAAACAGGGGGTCAATAGACTTTAGTATTTTTTGGGCAAAAGCTTAGATCTTTGTATTTGGTTTAAGTTGGAATGCTCCAACATGTTGCAACAATTTTAATTCATCTTGATGCTTAATGAATTTTTTTACTGATTAAAAAAAATTCTGGCACTTGACACCCTATCCTAGACATGTAGATGAAATACCAGGTGGACTGGAACCTAACCTCTTGAATTATGTGCACGAAGTGCCTGCTCTCAGACTTTACTATAGTCATACACTTATCTACCCAAGACTTTACCATGTTCCAAGAAATGGCCCCTAGCTATACTTTAAAATAATAAATGTCCCCAAGAAATACCCCTACCAACCTAACATCTAAAAATTAAAACACACACACACACACACACGCAAAAAAATTAGAAAGTTTAGTATTAGCTATCTGGCTTCTGTATTAGCTATATTTTAAAATAATAAATGTAATTTGGAATTATAAATGTAATTTTCAGTGACATGAATTCTGTAACTTTACAATCCAAGCATCTATGAACATGACATGAATTTGGCACCATTCCATTATCATTGTATTTTGCACATACAGGTTAAAACCCACTCTGACTCGATTAGACCCAATTCATAGAAACTAGGATTGAAATTCAACTCTGCTAGATTAAGTCTAAATATTCAACACAACTGGACATATTCCAACTAGCTGCAAAATCTAATCTCAGTTTCATGCCCATGGCTCAATGTGTTGGAGCCTAGGACAAGCACAAATAGATGTTACTACAATATTGTACTATTTAATTAAATGGTCATCACCCAATGTTTGTCCCATCTATCTGGGGCATTGGGAGGGGTGGACTGGATATGGACCTAACCTTCAGCATTTCCTTGCACAAAGTGGCCACTCTCAGACTCAAACCTGCACTTTCATGCTTATCTGCCCAAGATTTTGCCATTGCATCGAGGGATGACCCATATTGTACCTTTATTAATTATTACAGAAAAAAATTAAAAGAAAATGCATACACTTTCACATGCTTATATAAACAACTAATTGCATCGACTTGTATGTACTACCAATTACCAAACAAGGGATCACTCATTAGCATAGTTCAGGGGTTGAGGGACTTCACATAGTCCAAACAACTGCTCTAACAACATCATGCGATAAAGGACAGCCCAGGCAAGTGCACAGCTAGACCAAGCAACCAAAAATCAATCCTTATCATACCAAATAGAGGCTCTCCTTTATTGCCAAGCCTTGCAGTTGCATTTGACAACACTACTACTGTCTATTAACATAATACTAGAACAAGCTGTGCAAATTCAGTGGCTCGACATACAAGGACACCTTGGCTAAAAGCCAACCAAATGATGTGAAAACCACTGCCCCGTCCAAGGCTCACTTTTTGTCTAGATCACTTGTCAGCTTCTTCAAGAAAGTAGAAGTGACTGATCACAAATTGTCACTAAAGTGTAATCCTTTTGGCATGGAAAAGTAGCAGGTCTAGGTAACTGAACAAACATTTCATGTAGCCTGGTGTTGCGTTCAAGACAATAACTACTATTAGCATTATAGGGCCTTCCTGGATAAATGCTACAACAATGTTTATCAGAAGAAAAATTACTTACTGTTGTTGAAGGCATTGTTGGAGCACCAGGTCTAGCAACCAAATTACCCCCAAAACCACGAGGACTTGACTGGGAAGATGGCCCCAAGTTTCGAGGACTCATTGGATGCCAAGCATTAGGAGGAACATGTCCACTCATTGGTTCACCAAAATTGGGTGCTGGCCTGCAATGGATGAATGTCAGAACACGAGTGGAGTATCCAAAGCCCAAAGGAGCTCAAAATGGAGAATCAGAAAAAGGTGACTGGATTGAGTCCTTAAACTTTATTTCAAAGTCATGAACAAACCTAACCCCCAATGGAGCTTGAGATCGGGGGCCAAAACCAGGACCTCCAAATGCAGGACCACCCCTAAGAAAGCAAGGAAAAAAATAAGAAAGAAGAAAATGAATTCCAATAAGAATAATAGCTCTACAGTATTTGAACCATAGGAAGAAACATCTAAAAGGGACTCTGGACATTCAGCTTACATGCAGTGGAGTAGTACAAAGCATCAGTAATGCAGGAGCTGAAGAATCAAATCTGGAATTTTCTGTATTTCTGTATATTTGGACAGTATGGGAATTTTCGTCATTTTGACCAGTCCCATGTGGGCTTGGGCCATACCATCTTGTTCCTCTAGCTTAGTAGTGTTTGTCTTTCAATTTTCAGTTTATTTACATTAGTAGATTGTGTTTCTTGATGCACGAGACAAGGAATGGCGTTTTTGTAATTATGCTGAACAGTATTATAAATAGATGTATTCTATTCCCTTTGAAGCGAATGAATGAATGAATGAAGATTTCTTAGAGCAAGTTAATGAATCTCTCTCTCTCTCTCTTCTGTTAGGGGTGATCACATTAAATCTCACCGAACCGAACCTGTCCTATATGTTTAAGTAATTATTAATTAGTCCCTACCTATGTTGATATATTTTGTTTGTGTTTTGTTTGAACTTCAAAAAAAAATGGTTATTTATGATAACACTAAAAACATAAAACCAATACAAATATAATACAATGGTACAATATTTAATTCAGTTTTGTATAAATTTAAATATATATTGACAAAAAAATCAGTTTTGCATAAAAACTAAAAGGAAATAAATATAAATAAATATTTAGAAATAGATATCTTAGTTTAAAATATATATATAAAAATCGACTAAACCAATAACCAACCCTTCATGTTTGGGTCGGTTTTGCTTCAGGGTCGGTCGGTTTCGGTTTGGTCAATAAGTAAACCAACTAGATCGAGTCGGTTGAAGAAAATGACTCAAACCGACCCAACCCAACCCGTGAACACCCCTATTTTCTGTCTTCTGATAGTTTGTTCCAGCTCTACTGCATCAATCAGTCTCCTACTTAAGAAACAAATGTATCAGTTGTGTTTGTTCTTGTGTATATACAGCAACTAAAATCCCATGCCAATCATGTTATTTCACACACATGGAAGAAGAATTTGAATTTAACTGATTTACTGAAAGATGGCAGACAGATATTTAATAGTTCTTCTCAACCCATGCATGCAGAAGACATGATTCTTACATAGTTGTCAAGACATTGCTATGGAACCTATGGGATCGCCCGAGGAGGATTCAGGATTAAGAAAACTCGCCCAGGCAACAAGAACCCCACAGGTCACCTAGCCTTGCCTTGGCTCCTTGAAAACCATGGATTCTTGTATGCTTAATTGCTTATACAACTCGGTGTACAAATTTAGATATATGCATGAAGAAAGAAGAAAAATCAAATCATAAAAAACCTTGCTTCTCCAACACGAGGCCTCTTAGGATCAGCAAATCGAACAGTTAATGGCTGATCACAACCCTATGTAGCAAAAAAAAGAATGCGATAAATGGTTATCCTTTAAAAATGGAACAAGGAAATGATAAATGCTGAAGATATAAATGAAAAAGGAACGAAAGAATAAATAAATCTTACTCTCATCAAATAGATTCCATTAAGAGAATTTATAGCGGATACTGCCATATCTCTATGAGAAAATTTAACAAACCCACAACCTTCAAAAGTGTTCAACATATCAGAAACAAGATAGCATATACATCTCAAACTATGATTACAGAATAATAGAGTTCAAATAACAAGAAACACATTGTGAGATTGGACGAAGCTACAAAAAAGATTCCACATCAATTTTAAACAAACGTGTAACCATCTAGCCTGAATAATTCTTTTCCCAGATGATACTGTATGACCCATGAAAGTGTAGTTATCAGAATCTTGTTTGAGCAAATATCACAAGGAATTAATAAAAAGGAAGCACCAAAATAAATGTCATGGTACACACCACGGCTTTGCTTCAATTCATCACGCATAATGTAGACATCTTCAACACGACCATAAGGAGAAAATATCTGATACATGAAATATCGGTTATAACCACAACAAACTAACATTAAAAAGGTATGCAACATGAATAGTAAAGAAAACGGATGATTAAGCCTTTTATGTTGCTCAGATGCCATATATGGCAGCAACAAGCTTACAGTTTCTGAGTCCGGACATTTTTTTCCAGAAATTGCCATACCACCCCAACAGTAGAGCTTTGAACATGGGGTTTATAAATTATAACCAACTAATAATACAAGTCTTATCCAAATGCAGCAAAGAAAGAAATAAAAACATAATCAATGTTTACTCTGACCCAAACCAATATACAAACATAAATACCTACATGAATACATGCACATATGCATACATACATATATGTATGTACTGAGTTTATTCTTTGGAGGAAAAAGCTTCTAAGTGCAAAAAAAAAAACATTAAAGAACAAAGAAAAGCAGAAAATGAGACATTTTCTATGTACAAAAGATGGAGTAAAAAATGTCATATGTTGCATACTTCCTCAACTTCCTTTTCTGTAGCTTGCTTGTTCAAGGAACCAACAAACAGCTTGTGCTCAACTGTACCTACCAATAAAAGAGCCACCATCAGAAGAGATGCTAAATTAATGACTTAGACTAGTTCTAACTATCAGAAAAAAGAGCAAAGAGCAAAATGAGTATAATTTTAGTTGTCAAAATAGTTGGAAACCTAAAGATCCTGTGAAAGAATGACATAAGACAATTTTCCTGTCAAAGCATGTACTCTTTTCCTTGTCAAAAAGAATCAAGAACATAAAAGCATAATTCCTTTTGTTATCATCAACAGCAATCATCATTCCATTAATGTATAAGAGGAACCCCACACTACAAAAATTTTGCAGTGAGGGAACTAATACAACAGCCAAGCTTGACAAGTCAATAAATAAATAAACTGTCACCTTGTTACAAGTTGACCCTGAGCCAGCTGCCCCATTTGAAAGATTCTTCCTAGTTACCCCATCTCCTGTTAAAGGTTTGGCGGATGGGCAATTTAGTTAGCCAAGCCAGATATCTGATCAGATTATAGAGGATAATGCCTTTTTTCCTCTCTTAGCAAGAATCTAAGGGTGCACGGACCTTCAGTTCTTGTTAACAAGAGGCCCCCATTTTTTTGAAAAACAAAAGGTACAGAAGGCCTTTTCAGTGCCTATTGCCTGTCTAGGCCTTCTCTGTAGAGCAAGTAGTGAAAAGCTCAGATAGGTGATGCAGGTGTTAAACAAAGAAGACCATTTTAGTGCCTAATTCACATCTTTCTTTATCTTTTGCGCTTTAGGTTCCTCAATTTCCATTTAATTTAATATCATCATTATCATCATCTAAGCCTTGTCCCAACTATATGGGGTGAGCCACATGAAACCAAGCCCTTTTTTTATCAACAGAAATTTTGTTTTATTAAATCAGTTATATGTGAAAACAGTACAATTTGATGACAAGAATGTCATCCCAAATATCATAAGCTGGATTACAAAGCAGCCCAGTACAAAATGCTGCCTTGCAACCCCTTGTTTAGCTAGGGAGTCAGCTAACCCATTTGCACTCCTCCTTACCCACTTAAATTCAGCATTTAAATCCTTTGCAATCCTTTCAGCTTCTCTGAAGACATGTTTGAGAGTCCATGAAATAATTACTTTTGAATCCCCTTCCACCTCCACCTGTCTAAAGAACAATTGCTTTGACAACAGAAAACCCTACAGCAATGCCAACAATTCAGCCTTCAAGGAGTTTGCAGTACCAATTGGCCCTGAATATAAATGCCAAGATCCTGCTCTCCAAATTTTTGATTGCTCAACCTATTCCTGCCATACCTGGGTTACCCAAGGAGCTCCTATCAAAGTTCAATTTTACTTTGCTGCCTTCTAGGGGATTCCACTCCACTCCTTTTCTTTCTTTTTCTCTAGAAGGCTTTGCTACTCCTTCCACGCCCTTAGAATGTTAGTAACTGAAAAACCCATAGAGCAACCTTCACTTTTTTTTGAAGAGTAAAAAGAAAAAATTCATTAAAAAATAAACTTAATACAATCATCAGGGGGTCATGAGGCAGCACCCAGAACAACAAAATCCATAACAACAAAGTAGCATCCTCAAAAAGATAGAGATGGAATACTACATAGACATCAACAGAAAACAAAAACCTCTCCACAAAACACACTGAACCTCCAGCACTGCTCCCTTTTCTCCTAGCTGACAGGAAGAAACCTCCTCGGCCTTCTTTTCTTTAGCAATTCCACCCCCCTTTCCTCTTCATCTAACCCAGCAGTTGGCTTCAGAATTTCCTCAGACACCTTCATTGATTGAGTCACCACCCCTGCTAAACCTTGGGACTTGGTATATATCTTCTCCCCCTCCTTTGAGCCTTTGAATTTCAAAATTATTTTCTTATAAACTCTCTTGTATTTGTTTGTTGGTCCAGCCCCAAACAGTCCTTTCAGTCTAGAAAAAAAATTTGTAACATGCTCTATATGAGAAATATTTGCAACCCGGACCTTCTTCAACGCCACCTCCCCCACATAACTATCTCCCGAGCTTCTCTCTTCAACCCTTTCACTGAGTACCTTAACATCCTCTCTTTCTTTAACACTCCCTTCCTCCTTCACCCCTTCCACCACTATTTCTCCCATACATGCAACCTCTTTCTCTTTCCCCTGTTCTAGCCTTATAACAGCTTGGGAAAACGTAGCACTCCTCCCTCCTTGAGAAGGCTGAAGAGTCCTCTTGAATCTCAACCCAAAAGGAGCCAAAGCTTAAGACACAACCTACCTGTCAACTGAGCTCCACCTGGTCATCTCATCTTTCCCATCACAGAGCGCCTTTGAAAAACATGCACCAGCCTGCACCTCATGAGTAGCAAGACCGTCAATCCTCTTCCAACCTGTCTCGAGCGTGCACCGTCCTCTAGAACACTTCTTTCTTTCCGGCACTGTCACACCTAGCAACCTTCCAGACCCATTCCTCATTCTTCCTTCTTCGAGCCTTAGGTGGGTCTTTCCTCCTTGTAAAACTTGAAGACTTGAACTTAAAGCTCTTTCTTTTGAAGACCTTTAATCTGCTTGGTTTTAGACAGTTCCACTCCTAATATTTCCTTGCTTCGACAAATAGAGGTGGTCCCCACTCCCTAAACTGCAAACCTTTAAAACCATAGCTGCCCCATCTAAAGCACCCCCACTCTCTGAACCAACTTCATTAAAGACCTTGAATGACTCTTTGAATACCTCCTCAGGCCACCCAGACATGGTGACCCACCTTTTCATTTCTCTCTCATCTCCTTCCACATGTCCCACTGTTGCCTTCTCCCCCCCCCCTTGTGAAATTACTTTTATATCCCTTTGTCTTTCCTCCCCATTGTCTTCAACCTCCAAGAGACCTTTCGTCTTCCCCTGCTTCTCAGACCTTTGCACCTCTGATTCCCTCTCAACCTTCTCTTCTTCCCAAGCTCTCTCTCTCTCTCTCTCTCTCTCTCTCTCTTTTGAAAGGAGGTAAGGTAAATTCTATTCATGAAGATAATCATACAAGAATGGGGGAAACCACAGGCCAGTTCACCCCCAAAGGATATGATTATAGACCCCACAGACTAACTGAACTAAGCATCAAAAACAAGTTCTGATTACAAAAATCAGGGATGATAGAAAGCCGGGAAGCAAGTCTGGACACAATACACTGAATTAACAACTCAAGCTCTTTCTTCCCAGCTCTCTTCTCTCCAACCGTACCTTTTCTCAGCCCTGAAAAAAGCATGTTCCTCTCCTGCATAAACTCTCTCTCAGATTAACCTTTACCTGTGAACCTGAGCACCATCAATGTTGGGATAGCAGAGGCATCTTCTATTTCCACCAGCAATCTTGCAATGTCTAATTTCTCCCACCTCCTATTTTTGTCATCAAATCCTAAAAACTTACCACTGTGGTCTCCAATTGCTTTAAAAGTAGACGTACACCATACATGAAGGGGAATTCCCATGACTCCAATCCACATCGCTCTCCTCCTCGCCCATTGTGAATCATACCCGCTGTTGGAAACCACCAACTTAATCTTAAATCAAACTCCCTATTTTTCCTCTCTTCTGCTTCCAAAGCCCACTCTGCAACTCTTCTGCTATGGAACATAAATAAGAACAAACCTCCATTCAGTTTTCTGATACACCGAACTCTGTTCTTCCCCCATTCGGATCTCGCCCAAGCTTCCACCTTTTCTTCTTCCAAATCCAGGCCGACAAACCTTCCAACCAAACTCACGTTAAGGACCTTCAGCCTCTCCACCAACTTCCTCATCTGACTCGCCTCAATCTGCACCACCATCGCGTTAAGGTTCATCACTTCGACTTTGTTGGTTAGCCCTAACCTTATATGTCATGCAACAAAACAAGGAATTCTATTCTATTACCTCCTCCAAAGTCCTACTCTTTCTAGTAAATATTCTGGTATTTCTCTTCCCACACCACCCAAGTAATTGCTGCCTTAGTGGCTCTCCACATTATTCTCCCTCTTTTCTTCAGTTGTCTCAAGAAGTTTGAGTTGAAGATGTCCACCACCTCTTGAGAGGGTCCCACCTTCAGCCAAAAGGAGAACAGAAAAAGTCCTAAATACGAAGTACAAAGGAACAAGAGATTAGTAAATGGGAGAGGGTCTTCTCCACTACCCCTATATAAGAAGCACATATGAGGAGAAAGGCAAGAAGAGGGCCTTCTTTTCTGCAGACCATCACATGTATTTACCTTGCCAAGGAATATTTCCCAGCAAAAAGTCTGAATTTTTTGTGGGATAAGATTACTCCAAATTTCTTTCACCGGATAGTCCTCCACTTGAGAACTAGGTAAGGCAAGATGCTTGAAAAAGGAGGAACAAGTGAAGAGTCCAGCTGGGGAGATTACCCAAATTCTAGAATCTTCCAGGTTTGGGTCTGGGAAAACTGCCTCCAAAATGTCAAGTAGGTCAATCAAAGAAGTACATTCGTTTTACCTTAGGCCTCTTCTACAAGTTCCAATTGAAACCTGAAGGAGAGGGTGTTCCCAATCTAGACACAATTTCACCCTTAAGGTTAGAGAGGGAAAAAAGTTCAGGAAATTGATCTTTTAATGGTGTTTCCCTTATTCAAAGTTCTTCCTAGAAATGGATTTTGTCACCCCTTCCCACATCATACCAAATAGATCTAAGAAAAGAAGGATATACCTCAGGAATTGCCTTCCAAGTAGAAGCTAAGGTTGAATGAGGAGTAATTTTAGCATCCCAGCCATTATCCTCCAGACCATGAATTCTTACTATTACCTTATTCCACAGCCTGTCTCTTTCAAAATGAAATCTCCACAACCATTTTCCCAATAAAGTGGTGTTTCTAACATCTACGAGCAATGTTTCCTAATCCTAGGACCCATTTCTCTTTTGGCTTACTAATGTGTTCCCATGTAACCAAGTGGTCCTTTTTTTCCTCTCCTGGTTCCCATAAGAAGTCTCCCGTATATTTCTCTATTTGTCTTGTTACCCTAGTCGAGATGCAAAAGGTGGAAAGGAAGTAAATAGGTAGATTTGCTAACGTGGCTTTGATCAAGGTGATTTTTCCTCCTAAAGAAATATAGTTCCTTTTCCACAGGGCTAGTTTCTTTGCAAACGTTTCCACCACTAACTTCTAGAACCCATCAAACCTAAACTAACCAACCAAGCCCTTAAAATGTTTAGTTACCTTTTACACTCCATTCTGTTTCAGGGTCTAAAGATGAAGAAAATTGTGGCAAGCATGAGTTTTGTGGTTTTTACTATTTCCATGGTGATCTAACAAGTATAGTGTCATATATTTGTCCTTTTCATCTCTCATCTCCTCAGCAATTGCATTTTGATTTGGGTCTTTCATCATTACAAAGTTTGAAGCTTCTTGTTCCTTTACTATTTTCTTTGGAGTCTCTCATGCGTGAAGCATCTCAACTTAGCAAAGCATCATAACATGTCATTTCCTCTTAGAGTCAAGAAGAATTGTTTGTCTCATTTATTTCAGTTGGTTCATTGTGATGTATGTGGTCCTTTCCAATGCAACCTCTTGTTTGAGGCTTTGGTGTTCGGTTAATTATTAGGACAATAATTCTAGAATGACATGAATTTATTTAATTAAAGATCATTTTTTCATAAAAGTTCAAACCTAATTTCAGTCTACAGTACGTATTTTGCAAATGGATAATGTTAAGGAATACACTTTTCAGCCTTTTAAGTAAATATTTTAGTAAACATGGCTTCAAATTTCTTGCATTACAACTCTTCATCATAGGCCTTTATTTTCTAACCATCTTCTACTTCTGGTTATGTTTTTTGTTCATCAGTTTGATCCTAAAACAAATAAACATGATCCTAACGCTGTGAAGTATGTTTTCTTAGGTTATTCTTGTTAGTAAACTCAAAAAGGGTAAAAGTGTTACAGTCTTTAGCTGCCTTACCATTTTGTTTGTGTTGATGCTACATTTTTATGAATCTGATCCTTATTTTTTCTACTCTAAGTTCCATAGTTTTGATGACTTTTTGCTTCCTGCTCCAGTTCCTATTGAAAAAGGTTTATCTTCTCATGCTACCTCCTAAACCATCAATTACACAAGTTTATACATAGCAACACAACAATGTCTTGCCACCATCTTCTTTGTAGTCAATGGAACTTGAACCTACTTCTGAACTTGATCCTTCTGAAAACTCAGACATACCCATTACATTCCTCTACATCCCTATCCAATAAAGGCCACCTAAATTTGGATACCACAGAATTTTCTCACCTTTTCGAAGTATTGACTTATTGTAATGAATTAGTGCTCAGTCTATACAACAGATTTCACAGTTCGCACAACCTCCCCTCTCCATACCATTCATCTTCCAAAAACCTTACTTTCCATCCTCAATTACAAAACTTCATGTATGATGTATCCTGTTAACTCTTCATGAATCTTAATTAAAGGAAAATTAAAAAATTAAAAAAAAAATCATTAGATGAAGAAACCTCTCCAGAAACCTACTATCTAAGTGCCCCATATTTACACACTACCACCCTTCTTTAAAGAGCATATCTTTCTTTGCCCTCCCATTCTTTTTATCTTACCAAGAACTTCCATTACTAGCACAAACAACAAAGAGAAAAAGGATCACGTTGTAGGGTCTAGTTCAGTGCAGTTCAGGTCTGTCAGACCTGCCCTCAAGTTGGTGAATAGACATCACATAATTCCAAATAGAAACAGATAAAATCAACCTGAGGACACCTCAGATACTTGGAAAACAGATAGGCAAGCTGCTTCTTAACATTAATATGTTTAGTCCTCTTATTAAAGATGGAGTTAGATGCTATATGAATAGTTGCTTGATTTATTACAATGAACACGTGTAAGTAAACTCATAGAGATGTGTTAACTCTTCTAAAAGACTCTTTAGCCAAACTAGCTCACAACTTATGTTGTATTGCCTTGACGCCTTGTGTTCTGCTTCAGGACTCAATCTAAACCATCACTTTGCTTTTTACTCTTCCAAGTTATAAGATTTGCCCCTAATAAAGTACTATAGGCTATAGTGTATTTATGCTGTCAATAGGTCGGGCAGGTCTGACAGAAACAAACTGAACTAAACCAACCATATAGAGTCTGGGTCTGGATTACTTGTCAGAAGGGGCCATTGCTTAGTGTATTGTTAAAAATATCAGGTTATCAAGAATGAGAATATGGGTTTTTAGTCTGAGAGTTGCCACATTGGGAAAAAAATGCCCAAGTTAGGGCCCTATCCAGTTTTTTTTTTTTTGAGAAAAGGTAATGTATAATAAGAAACAAAACAAAATATACAAGGCCCTGTTCAAAAAGAATCTGTATAGGGCCCTACCCAATTCACCCCTCCCAAGACTGTAGATGGCTGGGACTAACATTGGGTAATGGCCCTTTGTTGTGTACATGAAAACAAATAGGTTTTTTTTTATCAGTAACAGAAAACTTTCATTGAATTTAAATACAAAGGTGGGAGGAGGTAAACTCAAAAACAAACAAGTTATCAAGAGTGAGAATATGCCTATTAGCTGGGATTAACAGACATAAGTACTAACATACATAAAAAAACAATTCTTTTTATGGACCATTGTTTTATATTTTATATGTATGCAGGACTAGCTTGGTCTTTGTAGATCCCAGTCAATGTTTTATAAAATGGATGTTAACAGTGATATGAACAATACTTTAGACTCTCTTATTTTCTTTATTTTCTTCTCTTTCTTTATTGTTGTATTTATTTTTTGAACAATCTTAATTGCTTATTTATTGCAGATCAAAACAGAGTTTGTTGATTATCTACCTCACAAACAAATCAAGATGATCACAAAAATATAGACCAAAATTAACTGTAACTATTGACAATTAAATTAGTTTTTTAGGTGGACTTTGAAAACCATGCAGTAGAAGAATAGAAAACATTTTAAGACTAGACATGAATAGACATCTGATAGTGAAATGCATAACAGGCATAAGTACTAACATACTAACATACAAATAAGGTTCAAAAACAATAAATTTTAAGTTTCAAATTATCAAAAAATAAATAAATTTTAAGTTTCTAAAAATTTACCAAGACGCTCCCGTTCTCCATCAGCATATCTAACTTGGATTGGACCCATTCCCTGGAAAAATTAAACATGAATAGATCAAGAAATAGAACCACTAGCCTAGTAACTGTCAATACCCAATGGTAACATTAGAACTCACCCCAGGCAAAGTATATTGATTATGCAAAGCTCTAATAGCCCTGTCAGCTTCTTCACAAGTTGCGTATTTTATGAAACAACATCCTGTATAAGTAAAGATTCACAACCTGACTCAATTAGGCTACTGTTTCAGTCATTATCAGTACAGCATGAATATAGTTAAATGACCAAGAATACAAGCATTCCATTGGAAGGCTATTAAAAGACCAACTCTGAGATAATGCAAACTACCCCCTCTGACTCTCAAGTAACATTAAATATGGGTCATAAAGGATAAGGAGAAAACTTTAATGCAAACAAGATAGGATTTATTGGGGATGCACAAGAATCCCATTTGTGGTCCATAACTCCATACCAAGTATGGAATATAAATTAAATCTTAAGGATTACTTGCGAATGGAGACAAGTATGCTGCTGGTATGACCCTAAATGCACACTCCCATTATACCAAATATCTCAATATTTGTAAAAAGAAATAAAGCCCCATACCTTCTGTTATAGGAGAAAGCATATGCCTTGGGCCATTTAGTTGCAATACCCAGGGTAGCTAACCCCAAACAGTTGGGATTAAGGCCAAGTTAAGTTGACCCAGATTACATGGTTACTGTTTCATGTCAGACACTTCAACTTTTAGATTGAAATGTTTGACCAATGTTTTAAAACAGAGGCAAGGCACAAAGTGTTCCACTACCTGGAGGCATGAAACATAGTTCATAATGCAAAAAGCACAAGCCTCCTCAAGAAGAGTATTAGTAAGCTGAAAGGAGGCATAATCCTCATCCTCCTCTGAGGCATACCAGAGGCGTACACCTCAGATGCATCCATGCTTCTAACATGCTCATCAAGGTGTTTTGGGCATGCCTTCTAAAACATTGTTTCCATCACCCTATCCATCCATGTGTCATTTCTGGGTAACGTAGCCATATAGAATGCACCAAGGCAAATGAAATGAAGATCAAGAAGCTTGTGGTTAAAGGTGACTCTAAGATGGTGGTAGGGTGGCTGCAGAACAAAGGAAGGCAGCTCTGTGGATCTAAAGGAATAAATTAAAAAAGCTCAAATGGTTAACAGCAGGGATGCAGGTGCAACAGATACAAAGATTGACCAACTCTATGGATGATGCATTGGTAAGACAAGGGCTGGCTAGAAGCCAATTATTTTGGGCTGAATTGCAACGTTATTCTCATGGGGAAGGGAAACATTGTTTTCTCTTCAATGATGTATAACATTGTACATGTACTATTTATAAGGATTTAATAATAACTAATTTATCCAAAAAAAAAAAGTATACTTGAACAGCATGAATTAAAATGTATTGTAAATCATACAACTATCCTATAAATGAAAGTCCCTTGAGATCAATAAAAAGTCAAGAACCATTATTGGAAATCATACAACTACCCTATAAATGAAAGTCCCTTAAAATAGGTCTGTATCCAGTCCACTCCTCCCAGACTCTGGATGACCTCTTTTTTTTCTGTGGGATTCAAATTATCAGATTGAACCCAAACTTTATCTCTTAGATGGCCAAGCAACGGGGAGGATTTCTCTAAAACTCGTGGAATGGGAAATCAATGCTTTTGGCTACTTTAGAATATTGTTAAGACAAATTTCACATGAAAGAAAATTGTTATTACTTAACCAAAAACAGGGGAAAAAAAGAAACTAGCAATCTATTACTATCAAAATACGTTGATAAGCCAAAAGTCAACCAAACTCATTTACCTGCACAAGCAAAATGGAAAAAATAGTAGAATTTGAAGATGACACCTGAAAGTGCATTTTGATAGTAATAATAGATAGCTATTTTCTATTACACGTGAAAGTGCATGGAAATTGATTCCATACATGGCAGTTTCAATTACTCCAGAAGCTGTCATAAATAATTACTTAGGTTGATAATATCCAACATCTACATCTCAGAACAAACCAACATAACGCCCAAGCTCACTAAATAACATTTTTCAAAGGCTCCAATACAAGTGACTCCCTTTTCACGAAGCACACATCCCCAGGCTGTGCACTATCAACTTTTACTCCACTCAACCATCTTAACTAAGCAAAAGATCAAAAGAATCATGCCAATCAACGCATGCTAATATATCTACACCGTAGAAAAGAAAATTGTATGTCATCCTAATGCTAATACCCAAAAACCAATACCCTAGGCTATTTCCACATTAGAGTGATAACCCACAAGTTATTCTATCAGCATTGAACTTCCAACCTTCATGATAAGATTGGACCTACGTACCAAAATTTGGTGCCTGTTAAATTGTTAGATCATTAATACAGAAAACACAGATATACTAATTACAAGAAAAAGAAAAAATAACACAAATGAAAGAAGATAAGAAGTAAATCCTCACAAAAACAGTCTGTTAAAAAACCAGTCAATGTAATTTGAAATTGGTCAACACCTTCTCTTGGCAAAAGGTATGAGACCAAGAACCAAGTATAACAAATTGGAGAAGCACCATTCCTTTTTAAATAAAAATAAAACCAGATATTATTAAAACAAAAATAATCAAATACACTACAATGATAAGAATGTCAAGGAAACACTCAAACAAAAATATGATGCTCAAAAGAAAATCCCCAAGCCCAGAAATCAGAAGCATTCTCAACTACACAGACTAACAAACAATAGCCAATTACATAACTTTCAACCACTTCACAATTTCAGATGCATAATCCACAACTTGAGAAGGAACCACCAAGAACAAGTTCTTCAACAAATTTCTCCATTCTCTCCAGAACTCCACCAAGCACTGGTAAGCACCATTATTTGGTATGATATGCTAGTTTAAATGGTAACAGTGAATTTCGTAACATAAAATTGATGACATTACTTTAGCACATTAGCATGGTAAAATATTATTTAATAATGACCAAAGGCCACCCAGATTTGACTTGAGACTCACAACCCAGTCTGTGGTTATAATTTCACAAAATTGCCACTTGTCATGCAAAGAAGAAGACATCTTTCTCAACAACCATAAAGACACACAATAATGGGAGTTGGCAAAAAAGCAATTACTTTACCAACCTTCTGCCACAAATGATAAATATAACCCCAAATCTCACAATTTTCAAATGTCAGTATATCCTAACATGGTTCACATTATTTTCTTTATTATTAACACAATCAATACCAAATGCCTTTGACATTTGACTCATGACTTACAAGTCACAACCCAATCCTTGATTATCATTTTACAAATGATTTGCAATCAATATGCTCCATGCCAAATTGATTAAAAAAAATCCACTATATAGCATGTAACAAGCAGATTTTAGTCCCTTGCATCCAAGCTTAACACCATCACCAAGAAAAACTGAAAAAAGGAAAAAAAAAAAAAAGAAAAAGAAAACTTGTATAATCTGAATATAATAAACAAACAGCAAACCCCATAAGAAAGAGAAATCAAACCAAAATACTTTGCCATGATCATTCCTTGAGCATCCAACTCCACAAATCATTAAGGGAATATCCAAAAATAAAATTGGAAATAAATCAATGCAAAAACCCTCTAATGAAATTGCAGAACCACTTCTTCAATAGTATCAGCATTCAGACAAAAGGTGATTATAAGTTATAACCAAATCCAGGAATAAGAGATTTAAGAATTCGGTCGTAAGAGAACCTATCCATGTCATCTGATGATTAATCGTCTGAATATTCAATAACATAGTAAGACAAAATTTGACCACATCATCACAATCTTTCCTTGCTTTGGATGAGACATAAATTCGGCCCAACATGATAAAAAGTTTCTTATCTACCTACTAAGAACTTCCTAGTCTCAATTACAAATTATAATACAATTCAGGCCTCACCCATTATCATCTTGTTCCATGCCTAATATGAAACAAATTCTAATACACAATTCAAGCCATATGTATATATAATCCCTACTCACCTTGCTCAGTTCAAGAAGAGCCAGATCAGTGATATAAGAAAATAACCTTCTTGACTGAATACTTGAATAGCCTATGCAAAATGATACACTCAAGCTTTAAACTACATACACAATTTATTTCTCTTCTACCAATAATCAAATTCAATGTTTACGGATTTCTTGGCAAAAGTATCTCAAAAGAAACACTTTTTGAGGAAAAACTTGACAATGTCATAAAAAGGAGTTTATTCACGTTAGCCAGCAGTTTTTTAAGTTAGAAAGTTATATCATGGAGGAGGAGGAATGAATAAGAAGATATTTGACAAGATTTTGGTACCAAATAAGAGATATTTGGCAAGATTTACAGGCCAATCACATTTAATAGGACCATCTAGATATCACAGACCATCCAACATCATCAGAATCGTGATTGTTCTACATGGACATCACAGTAACCATCCAATATCATCAAAAATCCAGATATTTACTAGGACATCACAGGACTACCCAATATCATCATAGTTATGATCGTGATACATCAACATCACATGCACCACCCAAGATCATCAAAAAGATTTTGTGCCATAAGGGCATTGCATGTCATCAAAGGAAAGAATCTCTCCCTAGTTACCAAGACAACAAACCACAGAAATCCCCCATGTTACACATTTGTGGTAAACCCATTTAACAGAAATCATCAATGTATTACTATGTTTGTGTACAAGAACTGCACATGGCTAAACATCTTGACAAATAAAATGCTACAGCTATGGCAAAAGCCATTTCCCACTACAAAAGACTTGCTACATCAACAAAGGTGAAATTTCACCACTGCAGCAAGTGGTGCAAGAGCAGGATTTATTTGCCTTCCAATTTTCTGCTTTGCATAACCAGTTTTTAGTAGATTCCCATGGTCTTGCCTTCTTCTGCGTTCACAGGAAGGACGAAGGACATAAACGGAAGGTTGGCAACCAAAACAACAACCCCAGATATTGTTGCAAAAAATAACTGAGATGAACATGAGCTTAGTAGTGTTCCCATCAGCCCCTCAGGAGACCTGAAAAGAGAGAGGTTCAAATCACAATCAATTCATAGAAAATGGCATTTGTGCATACCTTGCTGCTGGCCAGTTCTCTTGTCCTTGATCAGAGCAACCTCAATAACATTTCCATGTTCCTCAAACAAGGGACGAATCTGACATAAAGGAAGAATTACTCAATCAGAATAATGAGAAACCTTTTAATAAGACCAAAATGAGAATGAACAATGGATACAAGACAAACACGAGTAACATGGAGTAAAAAGGACTAAAAGCATCCAAAAATTAAAACAAAACATAAAAATCTCATTCTGTAAGCAGAACAAGAGCTAATACAATCAGGCAAACAGAATAACATCCAAGTAAGCATGGACATCTACTGTTTCCAGAAGCCAGATGACGTTAGACAAACTTCACTTCTAAAGAATCCAGATCAATAGATTCTCCAAGTTTCAGCTCAAGGAATCAAAAAAGGTGTTCACTTTCAGTCAGAAAATAAAGAAGATGGACAATTAAAGTAATGTTTGGTTTAATATAAACTAAGAGAGAAACAGAAAGTTGAGGGAAAGAATTCCTTAAGAACTTTCCCTCAACTTTCTATTTCTCTCGTATTTTCTACCAAACCAAACATCCTAAATGATCTCAAATGTCACCAATTAACCTACAAAAGTAAAAGGAAAGCACATTCCCTTTAAAGGTTAACTAGGCATTAGCATCAATATAAACATGAAGAGTTCTTCTATGGATCTTATTGTGGAAAGTCTTGTGGTATATGAGAATGTTATGTCCTTTCTTTTTGTGTAAAACCAAATCAGCATATTTCAGGCATATCAAAGAAAATCAAATAATTACTTACATCTTCCTCCCTTGCTGTCCTTGGAACAGATCCAACAAAAAGTTTGGCAAAAGTGCTATTATCAGTATTATCTGAGAAGACAATGATATCAGTACTTTGACAGAAAAAGATAGGAAGAAGGGAGGGGCAAGGATTGTGAACATGCAATTTTTGGGGAACTATAAATCAATTATCGATAAAAAAAAAAAAGTAATTTTAACTGAAATTGAATACAAAAGCAAGTGTATCTTGTTTTATGTAGAACTCAGAAAAGTAAAACCACAAAAGTATCAAACTAGAAGAATGTTCTGTAACATGATCTTTCCTATTATCTACAAAGTACCACCAGAAAGCGCAGAGATAAATGAAGCAAACACTCAGCTCCTTGCACCAAGACAATAATGTCCTCATGTAGTAAAACAGGAAATGAATTTAGGTAAAACATCCAAGAACAACTCTACCCACATTAACATGTGGTTATGTTTTTGCACCAGGCAACACCATTCTCTCATATAGCAAAGGAGTACAAGCAATTAATGTATTTTTTTATAAATTTTATTGATAGTCCAACATAAATATCTTCAGATTACAAGGAGTATTCACTATCTCTTTACAATATACAGCATATTGCTGTACCCCTACTCATAAGGAGTTGTGTAACACAAACCAATTCTCATTCCAAATGGTACTCTCCCCAAGTGGCTTTAAATAGAACAGATTGACAAAACAGCATCCATATGGATGATGATTATGATAATACTCTCCCCAAGTCAATGGTTCCTTCCCATGCAAAAGAGTCAGAAAGTGTGATGGAAGTTCCTGGAATCCAATAACAATTAGCACACAATGATCTTGCTAGCAGTCTTGCTTTTCTAATCTGATGCCTAAGCTACCACGATCCTACCATATTTCCATCCAACCAGTTCATAACCACCTGTGGTTCCCCTTCAATTATTTAATTTTTAAATCTGCTTCCCTTGGAGCACTGCTTTTGGTTCATCCCTTACCAACCCCTATTGGACCAGAAAAGGCCAACAGGACCTCTTTTTTGTGATTTCTGAGTACACCTCTTATTTTTTTTAATAAGTAATAAATACTTCTGAATTCTTCACTTATACCTGAAGGCCCCAGGTTGCCAATGCTGCATCCAAAAAAATAACAATTTCTATTTTTTTATAAGACATCAAAAAAAATCAATTTCATTCTAATAGAGGTACTTTTTATAAGTACATCCTAGTAGAGGTTGTTGCTGCTGTTTTTTTTTTATCAGCAACAGAAAACAGAATTTTATTAAAGTTTCTTTTTGGTTTGTCAAGGAGAGAAAAGGATGAGGAAAAAAAAAGCATATAACCATCAGAGGTTAGCTCCTTCCTGAAACCTTCGCCAACCAGTTCAATACAAACAAGCAAATCAGAAGATGCTCCCTAAGGGCAGAAGTTTTTGCTTTACTCCATGGTCTCAGATCAGCAAAGCAATGGGGATTGCAACATTTAGAAGTGGAGGGAGACTCCAAACTGGTAATAGGCTGGCTGCAAACTATAAGCTTGGGGATGTGGCTTTTCAGACATCAGCTAAGAGATATCTCGAGCTTAGCAAAGGAGATTGGGGTGAGGTTTAACTGGGCAAGAATATCAGAAAATGGTATGGCTGATGCTTTGGCAAAGCAAGGAGTCAATAGGCAAGAGTTGTTTTGGGTCTGTTTATGAGACAGTAGGGTTCTCCATCCAGCCCTTGGATGGTGGCAGTTGTAATTTTTATCCAATATCATTAATGAGAGATACTGTTTCCCATAAAAAAAAATGCATCTTTCAAGTCTTTGACTAAAGCTTGTAATACCATATGCCAAAATTAAGACCCATGAAAATTAATCTTGGTAATAAACTGTTACTGTTACAAAACTCTTATGGAAGGTACAACAACTGCACTGCAGTACAATACCAAACTAGAGATATTATCTATTTACCATTGCTGCTAACTGAAAGATGGAGATGGCATAAACATGGTAGAATATTGAAGTTCCCATTTTCAAGGGCCAATGTGATGTAACTGGACAAACAAGAATCAACAGATAGTGGCTTAGAACTCAAGCGTCATTGGTTTTTTTGTATGGATAACCAACCATCATTTATTTATCCAATTTGGAATGGAATAGTTCGGGCATCATTCACAAGTAAGAGATCTTTTTTCCCAATTGATTGTTCAATTACGAAGCTTATTTCATGCAGTATGTTTTTAAGTCAGCCATCATCCAGTAGTGTAGCATAGTATTGGTCAAAATGATGTAAAAAGTATATTCATAACTAAGTTAATTCTTAATCGTGATGCATGACAACAAGGCAAGTAACTTTCAAAATCAAAGCTAGTAACTACGAACTTCACAAAGGGAAGGAAAAAATTGTAACAAAAGTTGTTATGATGATATACCAATTGAATAGCACTTCTCTAGATTATATCCTCATTTGCAAGAATGAGAATTTCACCGAGAACATGTTTCTAATGCATAATTTAAAAAAAAAAAAGCACTAAATCATCAGAATAGAATCATCCAATATGAAGGCATCCCATAAATGGAAAAAACTTATTGAACTACCGTAGCATATTAGCCATGTTTCAGATGCCAAAGTCAAGAAAGCTACTACCAATCAAGAGAACGAAAGGGGAAGAATATCCAGAGAAAGATGAAAACAGAAACCTAAGAGACATAATTGAAGCTCAAAATGACCAACAAGAGTAATAAAGGAGGTAAAATTATAGCTAGCAAAGACCCGACCCGTACATATAAAGATCACCAAAATAATAAAGGAGGTAAATTCCCATCATTCGAACTCCAAAAAAGAAGCAAATGCGTATTAATCAAGCAAAAAGTAACGGAATTCCAACCAACTAAATAACGAACTCTTAGAATGCCACCCTACCTGGAGACCCTCCTCGGCCGGAAGAGGGAAAACCACGTTTCTGACCTGAGAGAGGCATCTGATGACCAGAGCCATAACCACCGCCACCTCCAGGCGGGTTATTGGGTGGACTGTTGAAAGGACGATGCTGGTTGTGGTAGTGATACCCTCCGCCCGAGAAGCCGCTTCTGTAATTAGGGTTACGGTGGTGGTTGTGATGGTTCATGGGGCTCTCAGACGACCGAGAAGGCATTCTCGAATGTCGGTTGGGGTAAGAATCTGGATTACTACCAGATCGTTCTCGTTCTCTTTCTCTGTGTCTATCCAGCTTTGCAGATAGGATGTCACAAATTAAAAAATGAAAATTGGAGGCCCTCACAAACCCTGAAACGGCTAGATGAGTGGACTTGCAGGTACAAGGGCGCGAAGACGCTCCGAGACCCCAACAGCAACAAGAAGAGAGAGAGAGAGAGTCCTCTTGCAAATAATAGAAAGACCAAGGACGTATAGTCGCCTAGTCGGCGCGGCGGGGACCTTAAAGACTTTGGAGGATGGGAACGTCCTTTTCTCCTCACTCGGACACCAATTTTGGTCCTCCAAACGAAAAAAGTAATGTAGAAAGCTGAAGGCTGAAGCTAAATATTCTGTACACGTGTCTTATTTATATTAAATTCGAACTTCGAAGTGTGAATCGGGCGGGCTGGGCTGAGTTGGGTTTAAGGTCAACCCAGCCTAATCCTGGGCTTAAGCCCGTACCGAACTCGATGTCAAGTCCAATTGAACCCTCTCCAAACTGATAATTTTGACATGTTCCGGTTGGGCCTGGCCCAAGTCGAGATTGGATTGGTGACATTGGTCAATTGGGTTTAATAGTTTATGCATGCCTATTAAGCTAAGGCCATGTTTGGGAACGTTTATGTTAAAAAAAATTGCTTATTGAATATGTGATTATTCCAATAAGCACTTATTTGTGTTTGGTATCTAACTTTTTCAAATTCATATTGGGTGTTTGATAGTCTTTTTCTTCAATAAGCATTTGTGACTATTTTGTCCTTTATTTTCTTATAAATTTTCAAAATATACCCTATGGGTAGGGGTGTCAATGGGTCAATTTTGATTAGATCCAATCCGATCCAAACCTTATCAAATCGGATTTCAATAGTTCATTATAATTATTGGATTGGACCAATCCAAAATAGATTGGTCTTATCAGTTTGAATCAGACTTAAACCAAATTCCTAATAATCCGATCATGAGGCTAATCCCTTATCCAATTTGAAACCGATCAAAACTTTTATGAAAGTATTTTTACGAAAACACTTCTACGAAAGCACTTTTATAAAAGCACTTTTATGAAAGCACATTTATAAAAGCACTTTTGTGAAAGTATTTTTACAAAAGTACTTTTATGAAAGCACTTTTATAAAGGCACTTGTGCCTTTTACAAAAGCACTTTAATAAAACACTTTTATGAAAGCACATTTATGAAAGTGATTTTATGAAACCACTTTTATAAAAGCACTTTTGTGAAAGTACTTTTATAAAAGTACTTTTACGAAAGTACTTTTATAAAACTCTACTAGGGATAATTTTATAAGTGGTATTTTAAAACTCTACTAGGGATAATTTTATAAGTGGTATTTTAAAACTCAACTAGGGATGATTTTGGAAGAAAAAAATAGAATAAGTGCATATTGTATAAACACTTAAAAAAACTGGAAATTTGGGCTTAAAAAATAAGCCCTTTATTTCTAAAATAAGCACTTATTTCAGGCTTATTTCCCAAACACCAATAAGTGCTTAATGGTGTGATCCCGACCCAAATAAGCACTTATTTTTAAGGGGTTTGAATATGATATGGAAAAGATATGATATCCAAAAACAATTGACCAATGAACTGGAATCATAAACGTGGTAGCGAATAAGGTGTTATTTATCAAAACTCATGGGTGGGTTTTGATTGGTCAAAACTCTTTCCACACCATATCTTTCCCACATCATAGATTCTCCCCTCTCAAACATGGCCTAAATGTACAAAAAAAAAAAGTTGCATCAATCTATTTAGTATCAATAATTTAAATCTTTAAATATAAAAATCTATATAATTTTCACTTATGCATACATACGTATATGATATGACAAATTAATACGATGGTGTTTTTTTTTCTTTCTGTTAGCGTTGCAACTTGGGTGGGATTAGCCCAGACCCAATCTAAAAAAGGTGTCATGTTGGGTTGGGTCAGGTTGAATGTTCCAAGTTAGGGTCAGGGTTAGGATATTATCCAACTTAACTTTAAGTTGAATTAGGGTTGAGGCCTTGTCCAATCCTATCTAATCCGAATTTGACTTAGGCCTCATTTAGTTCGTAGGAATAGGGGTCTGAAATCAGAATCAGAATGGGCTATTCCAATTTCAACTGTTTGGTTGGTTGGAATCGAAATCCCATTCCCATTCCTACTGGAATGGTATTCCCCGTTTGAGGGAATGGCCATTCACTGCCCTTCCCTTGGGAATAAAGTCCCATCCCTGCTGATTTCAATTCTCATTCCCATTCCTATCTGAACCAAATAGACTATGGGAACAGACCATTCCAAAGGATTTCAATTCCAATTCCAACTGTGAACCAAATGGACTCTTAGTTTATCTATGTTAACAATTTTAAGGCCCTATTTGGTTCGCAGGAATAGGGGTTTGGAATTAGATTCAGAATGGGTTATTCTAATTCCAACTGTTTGGTTGGGTGGAATTGGAATCCTATTCCCATTCATGTTGGAACGGCACTCCCCCGTTTGAGAGAATGGCCATTCCCCGCCCCTCCCTTGGGAATGAAATCTCATTCTTGCTAATTGAAATTCCCATTCTCATTCCTGTTTGAACCAAACAAATTGAGAATGGACCATTCCAATTCCTATTCCCACTATGAACCAAACAGACCCTAAGTTTAAAAATAAACATTTCTAAGAGCATGATAATTATGTCCTTTTACATATAATAATGCTAAAACTAACGATATGTTTGGTTTGAAGGAAAAAGTAGGGAAAGGAAAGGAAAGGAAGTGAAACCTTTACAGATCTTGTATAGGTTTCCCACCATTTCTCTTCCTTTCCCTACTTTTTTTTTCCTTTAAACCATGCATAGCCTAAGTGACCTCAATCCTTAAATATAGAAAATATGAACAATTGGCAAAAGAAACTAGACAAGTTGTGCCAACCTTAACGCAACCCCAAAACTTTGGGTGATTTTGTATTTGAAAATTATTATTGTTATTCTTGTTGCTCTTGTGGCATTATGAAAAGGGTTATTATGCGTCTTTAAATATAAACTTATGGATTTTTTTAAGAGTGACTTTAATCCTTTAATCATACCTTTAAAAAAGCGAGAATGGATTCTTCGTAAGGTGCTCCCACTTGTGAGCTTAAGGTCCTAATATATAGGTTTAACCGGGCCTGATCAGTGGGATAAGGAATATTTTGACATTAGATTTTAGGAAATAACGATGTTTTAAAAACTGATCTAGAGATCGAATTGTTTTTACCTTCAGGCCATGGGTCACTAATTTGACCATTTGGGTTGGACATCCGAACACAAAGTTATGGCTTTAAAAAGATTGCACATATATCGAGTGTGCAACCCATGTCTAAGTTGAACGGGTCAACGGTTCAACTGCTTGGGTTGGGTTTTAGCAAAAACCAGACCCAAAATCCAAGACAGGGGTGACGGTTTGAATGGTTCAACCAGAAGGGTCAATAATGGGTTGAAAACACTATGAAAAACTTATTATCGGGAAAATAGTATTTCTTTTTCTTTCCTATTTACTAGACTTTTGTTTATCTTCCTTCATAATTGTAGCAATTAGACCTATTCATCATGGGCCATGTTGGGTTGGATTTGGGTTGGGCTTGTATTCGTATTATGAGAACACATTTAGGCCCGAGCCTAAGCCCAGCCTGATCATCGAGCCTAGGTCTTGAGCCCAAGTGTGGTCATTGTAGAAAGCCCAAAACTCAAACCCAAGCCTGAAGCCCATCAAAAAATTAGGAAAAAGATCATTTCTTTTTTTATTCAATAAAGAACAGATTTATAAAGAGAAATTTTCCGATTAGTACCATGTACTTTGGGCCTAGTGCTACTTTGGTCCTCATACTTTAAAACGCAACAATTCAGTACCCAAACTTTCAAAACATGCCAATCCAATACCTGTCGTTAACTAGCCATTAAGTGGCATTTGAAAAGACACAAATGTCATTCGAGTGTCATCCAATTTTCTTTATCAACCATTTAAACGTTGATAAAAAAATGAACAATCCCAAATCCTTGCCTCTTCTATTAAAGAAAGTTGGCATCACTACAATAACCATTGAGATGCGGCCCCAACTTTATTGAATAGAAGAGGCAAGGATTTTTTTTCTGATGGGAAAGAAGCAAGGATTTGAGACTGTTCACTTTTTGTCAACGTTTGGATGGTGAATAAAGAGAATTAGATGACACTCAAAAGGAATTTGTGTCTTTTCAAATGCCACTTAATGGCTGGTTAACGACATGTACTGGATTGGCACATTTTGAAAGTCCGGGTATTGAATTGTCGTGTTTTAAAATTTGGGGATCAAAGTAGCACTAAGCCCAAAGTGTAGGGTACTAATTGAGAATTTTCCAAAAAATAACAAAATTTATACTGTATATAAAAGTGGGAATGCTGAGTGGAAGTTTTGTTGGACTAAAATTATCCTCAATTTCATTGTTTGAGAATGGGTGTAAAAAGTTATTTTTTGTAGCCTTAATGTCAACTTTTATTGCTACCAAAATGCCCATATTTGTCTATTTAATGCATCTCTAATTGCAAGGGTTGAAAATGTAACTTCAATTATTATTTTCCATCTCATTTAATCCCCTCTCATTAAGTCTTATAACTTAAAGTATTAACTCCCATTTTTTCTTATTAAATCATATATTAAGTTATTTTTCACTAATATATGATACCAATTAGATTTATGCCAATATTTTTAACAATAAAAACCCATATATTTTAAAACTAACTTAATAACAAAACCATTTTTTATCAAAGTGGTGGCTAAGAAATTCAACCATCCGAATCAAATTGATTAACCTATACAGTCATCGTTAGGTAATACAAATTTTAAAATATAAATAAATATAAAAAATTACAAAATGTAGAAAAAACTAGACACATTTATGATATTTTTATTAATGAAATAAAAAAATAAGTGTAATAAATAAGATAATTTTTATTGATAATGAAAATTAAATACATAATTTGGAATTGAGCAAAAATGAAATTATTTTACTATTTGGCAAAAATCAATAGTTCAACTTTTGGGTCAAATTTGTTAGCGTTTAATGTCAAATAAATAAATCAATAACAAATAATAAAATACAAAAATACAAAATGAAAAAAATGAATAAATTTTGCAAAAGAACATTCAGGCGCATGTATAATATCATATAATTATCATATTAAACAAGAGGTAAGTGTGACATATCAAAATTATTTTTACACATAGAAATATAAAAAGAATTATAGAAAAATTGAACACATCTATAATTTTATATTTACAATACCATTAAAAATATG